GTGCCTGTCGCCGTCGGTCCAATTATCGGCGGTGCGATAGCGGGATCCCTTGGATGGAGAGATATATTTTGGTTCTTGACCATATACAGTGCTATTTTTCTCTGCCTGCTGATCTTGCTTCTCCCTGAAACACTTCGATCGATTGTTGCAAATGGAGGACAGGCACCAGCCAGCATCATCACCCGATATCCACTTTCTATCTATCAGAGTTCTACAAAAACGAAGTGGAATCCAGACAATACTTCTTCTGAGCTCGCGGCCACAAAGCATGTCGATATTACCGGCCCATTCCGAATTCTTATCAGCAAACATGCGGCCCCAATCATTATCTTCCTCGCCATATACTACGCTGTCTGGCAAATGAGCATCACTGCCATGTCAACCTTGTTCGAGGATCGCTACAGCCTAGAAGAGACTGAGATTGGCTTGACTTTTATTGCCAACGGAGTCGGTTCTATGGTGGGCACACTTGTCACTGGCAAGTTCCTCGATGTGGATTATCGTCGGGTTAAGGCCAAATATGATAACCGACCAGCTGGGAACATCGAATCAGGAGATGCCCAAATCCTCACAGCTCATGACGACGAGGAGTTTCCTATTGAAGTTGCCAGGCTCAGGCTCGTGCCGGTATTCTCCCTCCTACAGTGTGTGTCGATCCTGGTGTTCGGTTGGACCATCCAGTATCCACATCACATCCACATTGCCGTCCCCATTATATCTACATTCGTCACTGGTTGGACGGCTGTTTCTACACAATCTGTTGTCATGACATATCTGGTTGACATCTTCCCGGACCGCACTGCAGCGGCTAGTGCTAGCTTAAACCTCGCGAGGTGCCTCTTCGCTGCAGGGGGAACGAGTGTCGTCATGCCTATGATCAACGGAGTGGGAGTGGGACTTGGATTTACAATTTGTATCATTATTCAACTTGCTGGGCTGCTACTTGTGGCTGTGCAGTGGAAACTTGCCTCCGCATGGAGACGTGAAGCGGAAGCAAACAAGCGGGTAGGCGGTGATCGAACCTAGCGTGTTCAATGCTTGAGTAATCTGTCGGAGAAGACTTTGCTCCTGTCTACCTAGTTCTAACCGTACGGTAGAAACAACGTGGGTAGATTAATAGAGGCGAAGCCGTCTTGCACGCTATTCTTTCTTGTTTGGGAAAATAATGCTGAGACATGTTGGTCCTGAATAGGCACAATAGATTCCTGTTTTACAGGTATCATCGTTCTCCACAACAACCACATTGTCAGGAGGAAGCCAGGGTGGTAGATGTCTGACCCGTATATCGACCCTCGTCGCAACTACCCACTACGGCAAAAGATCGACAAACTGCAGTAAGCTAGATTTCTCACTCGGCATTTGCCGCACACTTACGACAAGAGCCGAGGGCTGATCGAGCTATTCCCCCTCACGCCGCATAACGCTAACTCGTACAATCTCCTTAGTGGCATCGACTAAATTTAATGCGAACTACATGTAGCTAGTCTTTACAGGTTGCCTCCATCAACCAAGCGAGCCTTAGGGCCCGTGATCCGACACCTAGGGGCCAAGATCCGATAGGCAATGCTTTCCCGCTTCCGTAAGGGAGCAAGTAACCAATGATTTGCTCCGGTATCCGATGGTTACTTTGCAAAGTTTTCGGTTGTTCAGATGGACGATATGGGATTTGACACTAGGTAACCCTCCCTATATTAAGATGAAAGGAGAAGCGGGCGAATCATAAAAAGTAGCGCTTCAAGAGAGAAAAACCCGCCATCCGTAGCCCCTTCGGAACCTTGTAGAATCCCCCTCTCCTTCCCCGCCACCAACCTAACCTAGATACCCCGTACCCCATACCCCACACCCCACAAGTGACGCCACGCATCTTGACTCTGAATATATATCCCTATACATCGCCCCAGCATATTCTTTCGTTTTGTCCATTCCTATAGTCCTCATTTTCCAGCTTGAGACTCATACCCCCCTCATCATGGCCACCACCATCAAGCCAACCATGGTCTTCGCGCCAGGAGCCTGGCATACCGCTGATTGTTTCAATCTCGTACGTGATGCTCTTGATGCCAGAGGTTGGTCCACTGAAGCCGTCAACTATCCCTCTGTCGGGGCCGAGCCGCCAACTAAGGGCCTTTCCGACGATGCCGCCGCGCTGAGGGCCGTGCTCCAGCGCCTCGCCGATGAGGGAACGGCCATTGTGCTCGTCGTGCATTCATACGGTGGGCTAGTTGGTGCCAATGCTGTCGAGGGACTAGGCTACAAGCAGCGGGCCAAGCAGGGTCTGAGTGGCGGCGTCATCATGTTTGTCTATCTGGCGGCTTTCGTGACGCCGCTAGGTAAGAGCATCAAGGAGATGCTGGGTGGCCAGTTTTTGCCCTGGATGAAGTTTGACGTAAAGGTCCCCATCCACTCTGTGAGGCTTTGTAGCTCACATCGGGATCGAGACAACTTATAAGACTTTGCCGCTGACTCGTGACTCTCCAGGGGAATTACGTCCACGCAGATACACCCGAGGTCATCTTCTATAACGACATGGAACCCGAGGCGCAGAGAAAGGCCATTGCCGCGATAAAACACCAGTCGGCCCCGGTTTTTACCGACGCCGTCACATATGAGCCCTGGCATGACATGGAGGCCATGTTCTTCTTCTGTGACGCCGACCAGGCTCTGCCTCTGGCGGTCCAGCAGGGAATGGCAGCTTTGCTTGGGCCAAATGCTGCGAGCTTTCACTCCAATGCCGGCCACTCACCGTTCTTGTCGCAGGTCCAGGATGTTGTCGATGGTTTAGAGTATGCCGCCAAGGTTGGTCAGGAGAAGAATGATGCTTGATATGCTGTTAGTCACAGGCCTATGGCGGTCTTACAGAGGAGGTTTTAGGCCCTAAATGAGTACCAACGTCAATAATCTTTAGTAATACAAGACATTTCTCATCTGTTCATTGTGCTAGACCTTCGTACTTCTCCAATGTTAAGCTAGTAGATTGCATTTCGTAGAGACAATGGAACATGACACCTGGAAGCTCGATCGCTCCCAAGGCTCGCTGCTCTAAAAGCCTCGGCTTTGACTCGTGGGTGGTCATTTGAGGCATCATCTTCAAACCTGTTTCCACCGCGGCTGACTAACAAAATCGCCATAGTCGGGTGCTTGCTATGCGCTGATATCTAGGCCTCCCTTGTACTTTTCATGAAATGTGATTGAGCCTACTTATCACTTCTGTACGAGGGCCTGATGAAGTACAGGGTATTAGGATTCTTTATTTCATTGCTTAATATAATAGAGCAATCCTTCTTAGGCTAGGTAGCGATTAATTGAACTCAGAGTCGTGATCTGTATATCATTTTGATTTGGTTATTTTGTCATTCAAAAAACCCCTTAGGTTTACAGTTATCAATATTTGCCATCTAGTCCCCCATGCCGAGGGCAATTTGGTGAACTATACCGTAACGGTTTAATGCAAATGACTGTGGAGGCTGAATCTGATGATTTAATCAATGTACTAAACTAAAATGATGCCGGCAACCTCTCTTCTTTGTGATGGGCTATTAACGAGTTTAATCACCCCCACCCTTCTGGCTAAGCTACCTCCTCACAGCAACTTGGGCCAGATCTCAATTCCTCCAACGCTCAATCTCCACTTGTTTGGACCTTGTAGCTCTCTCTCCAAGCCCCAGCCAGCCAGGTATAGGGGTCCCCTCACTATTTCCTGCCTTACCAAATATTTCCAACACATGATTCTCTTCCAGTCATGTCGGAGTTTCGGCCTCGTCGTGCCCATAAGAAGTCCTGTGGCGGATGCAGAGCATGCAAAGATCCATGTCAAGTGCGATGAGATGCGGCAGCAATGCGTCAACTGCTTGACAAATGAACGCCACTGTTCCTATGCAAGCGAGCAGCCCATCCTTGCGCCTAGAACCAGCATTACAAATGGGTTATTGCCCCAGCCACAAAGCCAGCCCGTCTTCAGCTTGCAGCACATGTCGCTCCTTGTTCATGTCACAACCAATCCCGCAGAGTTTATCATGTGCGACGAATTATCCCCGGCCATCATATCCGACATATTGAAACCTGCCCTGGAAATCCACTACGTCATGGATGCACTCCACGCTCTATCCGCCCTCCAACATAGCCTACAAAACCCATCAAGGTCGACCAACTACCGTCTGCTGAGCATACAATTTCAAGGGAGGGCATTCTCCCTTCACAATGATTCGGCAATAGATTCTTCAGCACACGGTATCCTTCCACGCTTCATGTTTTCACTTCTCCTAGGATATTCTTCTCTCCATGACACTCTATCAAGTTCACAAAAGGATATTACCATTTTCATCAAAAAGTTTGGAGACTATCTCCTTCTTATCCACCTTGGTAAGATAATGGCAAGAGATCACTGGACCACTATCCAAATGTCAGAGATACGACATATTTACCTTTCCGTGGGGCTTGACCCGGGCACTCCGACTTCATTTCGTCAGAGGCGGAAGATGGTCTAAGAACTGTTGACTCTATGTTGACTCATTCAAATATGGAGCAGACCCGGCTCAATGTATGTCAGAAAGCAACGACATATCTAAAATTGGCCTGCACTCTATACCAAAAGAATATTGAACACAAACAACTACGTACTCAGGCCAGGGCGACCTTTCTAGTATCTGCACCATTGGCGTTTGTAGGTGCTCTAAAAGAAAGGCAGTCTGAAGCTCTTGTCATTCTCGTCCACTGGGTGTGCTTCTATATAAATGTCGCAATGCTTGGGTAGCGAAGGATGCTGGAAAGCAGCTTATTCGGCTAATTGTATCTAACCTAGGCCCACAATGGGACCGTTTCATGGAACTGCCAAAGGAGGGTGGTTTTGGCGTTGGACTGGGAAAAGCTGTAGCGCGTGTTAGCATGCAAAGCAAGACGTTACAAATAAGTCCAATGGATTAAAATCATCAGTCATCTCTTTAGTATCCCTAACTTCAACTTGGGACAAAAAAAGAGGAACACCTTTTATGAGATGTATTGCCTAGCAATTGCACGTTTCGATCGTGCGACCTCCGGGTTATGAGCCCGGCTGAGGAGAGTTAGTTTTCGAACTCATGAGTTATTACGGTAGATATTGTAAACATACCGCGCTTCCACTGCGCCAAATTGCTTTATTGGATGACCTGACCTGTGCCAAAGCTGCATTATCCGTGTGTGGTGCCCTAACCCTGGGCGGAGACTTGACCCCATTCCCAAGTGGGGGCCAGGGACCTCGCCAACGTAATTCAACTTCTGGTGACGGCGATTATCATATAAAATGCCATCCTCGATGTAATGGCACATGTAAAAGCCCATAAAACAAAAGCCCGATGGGCGTGACATCATGTTGAAGCCATTGCCCGTCTCGGCGACCTCCCTCGGAGGGTTCAACCCCACATCGCCGAAGGACCCACATATTCGGCGACCAACCCAGTGGCTGGTTAAAGCTGGCCGCTGGCACATTCGGGGATTGAGGTTATGGTTCACGGCTTAAGCTAACGATTACTCAGGGTCGGCGTCCATGATAATGTCTAGTCACTGAGATGAATGGAGAGGAGTTGTCTATATAAAGTATCCTTCAGCAATCGCCGAGAGCCATCTCCCACCTAACACATCCACGCAAGTATCCTCCAAAACCTGGAACAGTACAACGAAAACATGCCTGCTGAAGCCATCATCATCCATAACATCTTTGAGCCCAAGACTGCCACTTGGCAGTACATCGTGGCCGACCCCAAGACAAAATACGCCGTCATCATCGACCCAGTCCTCGACTTCGATCCCGTGAAAAACACCTTGACAACCGAGAGCGCCGACCACCTGCTCTCAGTAGCAAAGGAACACAACTTTGTCGTCGTCAAAATCCTTGAAACCCATGTTCATGCAGACCACATCACCGCGTCAAACTACCTGCAGCTGAAGCTGTCTGTTTCTCAGGATTTCCGGCCTGACATTTGCATCGGCAAGCGCGTCGGGCAGACACAAGACCACTTTGGTCAGCGATATGGGATCCCAGAGAGCGAATACAAAGGCGCATTCGATAAGCTTTTTGACGACGATGAGACGTTCTCCATTGGGGACTTGCAGGCCAAGGCGATTCATTTGCCGGGGCATACTCCCGACCATCTAGGTTACATCATCGGAGGTATGTTGAGGAAACCCCAAGTATCACGCGCAATCTGACCGCCTGTATTTAAACAGAGAATGTCTTTTGCGGCGACTCTCTCTTCAACCCCGATGTCGGCTCAGCTCGATGCGACTTTCCCGGTGGCGATGCATCTACCCTGTACGCCTCGGTGAGGAAAATGCTCAGCTTGCCAGACGACTTCAAAATCTGGACAGGCCACGATTACCCACCAGGCGGCGCTGATGGCAGAGCTGAGCCCCTAGCGGCTACTACCGTCTCGGAACAGAACAAGACTAACAAGCATTTGAAGAATGAGGTTCTGGAGAAAGAATTTGTCCAGTGGCGGACGCAGCGTGACGCTGGCCTTGCCACTCCTCGGCTGCTCCACCAATCGCTCCAGATGAACATCAGAGCCGGGAAGTTGCCTGCCAAGAGCACGTCGGGTGATATGCTCTTGCATCTCCCGCTTCATCCTGGTTGGGAATAGGAGTTGGTGGCGCGTGTACCGTGGCGCGAGTGTAAGACTAAATTGGCAATGTAACGTGCATCCTCCTGATGACAGAAATAGCAGAGTATTTTTTCTACTTTATCCCTGTGTCTGCAACAACTTGTTACTATTATGCTGCTGGTGTTGGCCGTGAGTGATGAATACGGGCCGACTCAACTCAGCTGCATCTACATGATACAACACGGATTCAGTCAGCTTCACCGACATGTGTGCAACCTTGTGCTGGAAGCACCGGCCGAGACTGCGCATTACCTGTGCATATCGAGTCGCAGATAAAATTCTTCAAGAGATCTCGGCTGAAGACCAGATTGAAAGTCTCTTCAAAGGTGAGGATGGACAGATCCTGCAATATGCCTTGGCCGTTAGGCGGGCCATTTGTAGCTGAGGATAGGCTGTACCTGCAGCGGGCGGCGGTATTCCACTAAAGTTGGTTCAGTACAGCTCACTGTTGGCCCGGCCCTACGTAACGTTTCTCAGTACGAGTCTTGTGGGTGGGCGAGTCGAAATGTTGGTTGACTGCTAAATTAAGCGCTTTTTGCATCAGTTTGAGGGTGGGAGGCCATGTCTTGTAGTTCTACCCTGTATTGACATCACCAACAAAGAATCACCCCGCTATAAATCGGCTCGGGGGCGGTAAATCCTTCGCTGTAATGTTTCAGGTCTTTCAGCTGCGCATCTGGACCAACCGACATGGCCTTCTATCCTTATCTGCCAAGGACCATGTGACTCGCAGGGTATCCCCATCGTATCATCCATCGAGTCAATCACTAGGTACCGATGCAGGTAGATTGCTTCGAGTTATATACCTGCATGTCATCACCAACGTCCCTACTCATCAGTCTTAGTGGCTCGCCTCTTCCAATCCATGGCGGTGGGGGGAGAGCCCACCAACAGCCGGACCGGGTTTCTCCCAGCATGTGAGCTACTTGCGATTTCGCGGAGACTCTCCGGCAGGCTGCATCCACTAAAATAGCAGCCGCCGCATCATCTTTCTGTGTTGGTTGGCCCCAACTTCTCATCCGCAAAGCCCCGCATCATCAGGCATTCTGATCCTTCAAAAGTCAATACAGTCGAGGGGAGAGTTTCTTTTCACCGTAACGACTAGAAACTATTCGAGAGCAAAACCAGCGACTCCGTCCATCCGCATGCCATCGGCATCATCACCAAGACATTCTCGCTACGTCTTTCAATTCATATGCTTTCTCCGCAAGGAATGGATCTCACACTAGAGGAGTCAGAGTTCCTTGATCAGCACCTTGACCAATTCAAGGAACTCCGGCACCTGCCATGGCCGAGCCCTTTCGCCTACGTACTGGTCTGTGGTTACAGAGGAGGGAAGGGCCTAGGCGGCATGTATCATCGTCAAGGGCCAGGCGAGGTTCTCAAGAGGGTATGTCACAGAGCAGTTCACACACCACCTTCAAATCTATGCCTTGATTTTCTGATGCATGATATCCAGCTATATTCGGCGGAGTTTGATTGGGGGCTTGATCCCCTTGGGTTAGTAAAACCCCCCGTCGCGTTTTTATGTTCGTGAGCTCATGTATCCAAGGGACCCGGACTACAAAATCATCACGGTGGGAAAGTGGAGCCTGGGTCTCGGCCTGTCAAGCTTTCCTTTGGGAGAGGATCTTGGTGTAATTCAGCCACTCAATGGAGCTGACGCCATTGTCCTTACCTACGACGACACAAGCCGAAAAAGTTTCGACGTAATGGTCGAATTCTATGACATGCTTGAAACTCTCCCCACTGAGTCGGAACCATATCGTGAATTATCCGGTTTCCGCAGGTCCCGCGTAGGGGCAAAATCGGACACAACATGTCCATGGAGCCGGCTCAAGTCGTATATGAAGACGGCGTGGAAGCCGAAGAAACAGGAGGCCACCGAGCCTCAGAAACTGGTGGCTAGCATAGCCAGTGAACTGGACGAGGCCCCCATTCCAAAAATGGAGCCTGGCCCGATTCCCCTCGTTGTAATTGGCAACCATCGCACCGATCGCCCAGCCGTTGTTGCGCGCGAGGAGGGAGAAGAGTTTGCAAGGAAAATTGGAGTAGGGTTCTTTATGTTTTCCACCATGATACTGAATTGGGGTGATCGTGATATACTGGAGCGACTGGCTCCGCGGCTGGTATTGCAGCGGGCCTGTGGCAAGGAGATGGGACGCTTCACAGGAGGTAACCAGCCGCTGCGATATGCGTTCAAAGGATCATTTGGCATTGTGTAACTAAGAGCTACTTTAGGAAAGTTAGCCATAACTTGATGTTGACTGAGACTCGTAGCACGGGGTTTAATTTCCGAGAGACGCAGGCATCGCAACACCGTCTTGAATGACGTGAAAATGCATTTGGTTCTGTAAGGCGTCCTTTTCAACAGATTTTCCCTAGGTCAATATAGGAGCGTCATGATGTAGCTGGCTGGAATGAATCAAGTGAGGCGAAAGACAGTGTGGCTATTCTCTCCAGCTTTGTTGGTCCCCGAATCATTAAAGCATCACCAGGGAACTCAAAAGGCCAAGGCAGATTCTGATATCTAAATTGGCTCACCCGACTCCTCGCCTCATGTATCCACTAAAATAGTACCAAAATGACTTTTATCATCCTTTGCCAATAAGTGTTGGCTCAACCCTCGTTCTTATGGGTCATGGCCAGTGCAACGCCCGACTTAAGCGCCCTGATCCTGCGGGAGCTTGCACCAACAGTGTGGCTGTAGCAATTGACATGGATGTTGAAGGTGTTGGAGGAAGCCACTTTAGAGATGCTTTTCAGCTGCATGCCTCATTTCAAGTGAACTCTGTGTTGAAGTGTTGGTTGATTCAAAGATCCTGGTATCATTTGCAAGTGTTTCATCCTCACGCACTTGGACAAGCCATACCTTTCGAACTACCAACACATCCATCGTGCCAAGCTTGACTTTAGGTACGGCCAGGATGTTTCTCGGTAGACATTCTTTCACGCTTTCTCCTGTTATAAGTATCTTATTCGCCCTTTCGCTATCAAGATGCAGTGGCTTCCGTACACATAGGCACAGAGTGTCTTTTCTTACTCTCTTCAATATTCAGTTACACCCACAAGCATGCGGTTTTCGCGTCGCGGGCTCCTTCTATTGGGAGTTGTTATTGGTTCTTCTTCGGTAAATGCCCTGCTAGGAAGGGAATCACATGAATGCGCCCGTGGTGAATACTGGTGCCATGATCGATGTGGATCAGGTAACAATGACACTGGCATGGTTTCTTATACTTGGCTTTTCCTTTGCTGATGGAGCTACTTCCACAGATGCATACGGCCAGACGTGTTGTGAAACTCCTGACGGAGGACGCAATCTCTGCGGATCTGGTATGTTTGCGAATCTTAACAAATTGATGGACCCTTACTTACCTACCAATAGGCACGACCTGTTGCTTGTATGGATGCTGTCCAGAAGGCACCACTTGCAACCTCTACGGAGGATGTGACAAAGTAGTAACCTCAATCAACTCAGACGGTAATCTAATTACGTC